AAACAAAAAATAAACTTTGAGAGATCTCCCTAAATTGGCCAGGCTGTTGTTGATCTTCCTTCCACAGCTTCTTGAGTGGGTGAGATTACAGGTATAAGCCAACATGCGATGCCTGGCAAAAATTAAAATATATGGAAAAATTCAAATACATAAAAAAGTAAACAGAACAATGTATTCATTGTCCAGCTTTATGAATGACACATTTTCTTTACTGTCTCATGTACATTTCTAGCCATTCCCCCACAACAGTTTTTTGTGGTAAAATTTACCTGTGTTGAAATGTATAAAGGTGAAATTTGACACATTTTGAAATGGGCCCATAACCCACCACTACACTATGACAAAGAAACTATATCCGATTGACTCTGCCAGTAAAAGAAATGAGAAAAAGAAAAAAAGGAAAAAGATAAAAGATCTTGTATTTTTTTTTTCTCCAAGTTTCTGTACATTTTCCCTACCTCCTTTACTGGGGAATGAACCTAGGGCTTTCACCTGTGCTACATCCCCAGGCTTTAAATAAAAATTTTTTGATAGGGTCTAATAGGGTCAAAGTTGCTAATGTTACCAAGGCTGGGCTCCAACTTGAGATTTTTGGGGTGGGAGGGTACCGGGGATCAAACTGTGCTTGTGAGGCAGGCAGCGGCACCACTGAGCAAAATCTCCAGCCCTACAACTTGTGCTCTTCCTGTCTCAGCCTCCCAGAGAACTGGGATTATAGGCATGTGCCTCCATGCACAGCCTCTTCATTGCTATAGCTTTATAATAACCCTGAAGTCAGACAGTTAGACTCCAACAATGTGCATTTTGGAACCATCATGTCTAACCTGCGAAGATTTTGACTGAGACTGAATTAAATCACTTTGGAGAATGTATTCACATATATCATGCTTTGTATGTTTCTGTTTTGATTTTTTTCTAGTACTGGCAATCAAACTCAGGACCTTGCACTTGCCCAGCAGGTGTGGTGCCACTGAGCTAAATCCCCTGCCCCATATATAATATCATTGAGCCTTCCAATTCATGAGTATAGCTTCTCTCCTTTATTCAAATCTTCCTTAAATTCTGAGGTATTTTATAATTTTCAATGTAGAGCTCTTGTACATTGTTGTTTATCCTTGAACATGATATATTTTTATATTACATGTTACATTTTAATGTTAATGAATGGCATTTAAAAATTTTTTATTGGTATATATTTGTAATGCATAATGATTACATTCACCATGGGCTATGGCTTTTTTTTGGTGGGGGGACAGGGTTTTGCTATGTAGTATGTAGT